TTTGGCTGCCAGAAAACTTAAGAGCCAGTTTACACCAATAGTAAGTACACAGAATTATTTCCTGCATATTTTAAATTATAATCTAATTCTACAAATACTTTATGCCTGTATCCATTTTTTTTCCCTTTTGCTCTCACTTCTAATTAATGTCAACTTGTTTTAGTTTATTCATTTATTAAAAAATGTAAGTATATGTTAGGCACTGGGGATGTAGCAATGAACAAAATAGTCCCTACTATCTCTTGAGACAGAACAGTCTTAAGGATCTTCCATTCTGGTGGGGAAATATATGCAAACAAATACAGATAATGTCAAGCAATGATACCTTTAAAAAAATAAAGCAGGATAAGAGGAGAGAGGATAGGGATATGGCACAGGGGTGGGAGGTATGACTTTACAAAACCTTCAAGTGGAGTGCATGCAGAGATTTAGGTATTCCAAGAATCCCCATAAGCCACCATGAATCACTTTTTGAAAAAGACGGGGAAAAAACAACAGTCCAACAACTCATCAAGCCAAAAAAAAAATACTTAAGCAATACTTTATCTCATCATTTTCCCTACTTAAACACCTTTCTGGATGATGATGACAGCTGCACAACAATGTGAATGTACTTAATGTCACTAAACTGTATACTTCAAAATAATTAAAATGATAAGCTTTGGGTTATTTACATTTTACCACACACACACACACACACACACACACACACACACACACAGCCTTTCTGATCCTCTAATCTCTTATGGTACATAACCAAATCTTCAACAAACCCTCTCTCTAAAATCTAGCTCCATTCAATCCCTTCTCATCCTCTACTTTCCTGAATCACTGACATTCCAAATACAACTTGGGCTTATGAATTATACTTCCCCAAGCCTTCCCTTTAGACTTACCTCCCTCAAACTTTGGTGATTCTCCTCTTTCATTTCTTGTTTTCTCCTCCCTCTCTGAACACCACTTCTCAGTGTTTTAATGGCTCATTTTCCTCCATCTGCACTCCAAACATAGTCTTCTAGGAATATCCTACCATTTGCACCCTTTTCTATTTGCCCAACAATCTTTTCTAGGCATTTGCACACACTAAAGTCTTTAAATATTATCGCCTATAGGGAATTACTTCCAAATTTACCTCTCATGGGCTTCAGAATCCAGGCCCTCAACCTAAACTCATCCTCCCTCCCAAACCTGTTCTTCCACTTGACTTTATTTCATTTACTTCCCTCAGTCACCCAATAGTGAAACCTGGCCATCATTACCTATTGCTCCCTCTTCCTTACTCCCTCCCTATATCCAACTAGCCTACTAATTGATGCCCCCACTAATAGTGTCTTCCCAAACAATCCAACCTACAAACTGCCACTAGATTAATCTTTCTTAGATATAACTTTGGTCATGAACACAGAACTCTTACTTTAAAATAAACTTTTCCATTCTGTCTCTTACTATATACATCCTCACTACCTCTAAATATACAAACAGTGGTACATATGCTGACAACCACTGAACTACAACTCCTAAACCATATCCTACCCCTTTTACTCAGGTCAATCCCCTGTCCTTAAAAAGTAATTCATATTTCAATCAACCCCTTACCTTCATTTGTTGAAAATCTACCAAGGGTGGTTCAAATGTTTGAGCCTTCTAAGAACCTTCCCAAATCAGGAATGTAAATTAAGTTTCTCATCTGTGCTTCCCGGCACTTTATATTGCTGAATTTACCACATTCTGGCTATAAAAATTAATTTATGTTCGTCTTTATAATTCTGTACTATAAGATGCTCAAGAGAAGCCATTTATTTCAGGGAAGGGGATATACAAAAACTCATCTGACTGCTACAATATATGGACCCTAAGTATAAATCCTATACTTTTAAGTAAGAACCATGCTAGCCCTGGCTGGTTTGGCTCAGCAGTTAAAGCGTCGGCCCACGGACCTAAGAGTCATGGGTTTGATTCCAATCAAGAGCACATATCTCAGTTGCGGTTGGGTTCCCAGTCCTGTGGGAGACAACCAATTGATGTGTCTCTCTCTCTCCCTCCATCCCTCCCTCCTTCCCTGTCTGAAGATAAATGGAAAGAATATCCTCAGGCGTGGATTAATGAAAAATACCATGCTAAACACCTTATTTCATATAGCATTTGTTCACTGACAGAATATTTATTAAGTACCTACCATTACAGTTCGCAAAAATGACACTTAAATCTAGGCGAGTCAACAGGATCCACAATCACACTTGACTATAATTACACAAAGAATTTGTAGCTTGACAGTAGTAATTAGAAACAACCAGATTAACTTACTCTGGGTTGCAAAACAGCTCCAATTCTTATTACATTATGGCTCAGCTTCAATAGACACTGTTTTCTAGCTATATTACTCTTAATCTCATTCCCTCTTAATTCTGGGCAAAACAGACTACCAATGTAGACTCTAACTAACTAGTCTCTACAGCAAAATATTTTCAGACTTAGGCACTCTAGGTTCCCTACTCTAGCTACACCACCCTGCTCTTGGGAATCCTGTCTTTGTGTCTCCAGGGTTCTAATCACCCCTACTTAATAAACACATACCCAATATAGTATTCTTCCTAGTGCATCCTGAGTAATACAGTTCTGTTTTCCTATTTCAGTTGACAGAACCACTTGATTATCCATGTTCTAGTTCAATGGTTTTAAAACTTCATGCACTATTTCTTCACCTGGTAGTGGGTACACCTTACTTTAATAATTAACAACTCTAAACTGCACATGTTTTATACTGCATGTATCACACACACAAACTATACTGCATATGTAAACATAGAGCATAAGAGTAAAAAGACAAACACTAGAAAAAAACTGAATAGGAATAAAACAATTTTTTAAAGAGAGAGACCTTTAAACAACTGTTATCTTCTCTTTAAACATACAAAAAGCCCACCCAAAGCAATTTACAGATTCAATACAATCCCTATCAATAAATGGCCCTGGCCAATACAGCTCAGCTGGTTGAGCATTGTTCCATGCACTGAAAGGCCACTGATTCAAAAAGTCAATTAAAATAGAAATACAATCCATAAAAGGAACAGTAAGAAATTTCTTCAAAAGTCTCATAAATGTTTTTGAAAAAAAACTCATCTTAATATTCATATGAAATCTCAAGGGACTCTAAATAGCCGAAACAATCTTGAAAAAGAAAAAAAACAAAAATTGGAAGACATCTCCTGATTTCAAAACTTACTGCAAAGCCCAATAATCAAAACAGTGTAGTGCTGGCACAAAAACAGACATATAAACCAACTGAAATAGAATAAAAGCCCCAAAATAAACCCTTGCATACATTGTCAAATGATCTTCACAAAGGGTGCCAAGACCATTCATTGGGGAATGGACGGTCTTTTCAACAAACAATACTAAGACTAGATACACACATGAAATAAAAAAATGAAGATTGACTCTTAACCTTGCACCATACGTAACAATAAATCAAAATGGATCAAAGATCTACATTTAAGAGCTAAACCTATAAAATTCTTAGAAGAAAACATAGGGGAAAATTCATAATATAGTCAGCCCTCGTTTATCGCAGTTAATCAGTTCCAGACTCTAGCGTGATAAATAAATTTCCACAGAGTAGGATTCTTTATTTATCTACAGTTGTTCCTCACTACTTCGCGCTTCGACTTTCCTGGCTTCACTCTATCACGGTCTTTTTCCCTTGTCACTTGGTGCTTGGACTTTTGAGGCTTCACTCTTATCATGGTCGCGATAGAGCGAAGCCCGGAAAGTCAAAGAGCGAAGTGGCAAGGGACGACTGTACTAGATTTGGCAAAGATTTCTTGGATATGACACCAAAACACAGGCAAAATAAGAAAAGACGTAGACAAATGTGGAGCTTGTTGTCAATTGGAAGACAAACATTTTCCTACCTCCTTGGGTGACAGATCCTGAAGTATATATAGACTGAGGGTACCACCACCCTGAATCACTCTCAAAACTTTATGTTGCCCATACCCAAGGAATGTACCATTAATAAACAATCATGTAACTCAGAATATGTCTCAATACAGTACTCAGCAGTCACTGCAGCCAAACAAACACATAATGAAACATCTGCTATCCCAACCTTAATATAAATGACATTTGAAAACAAATCTGCCCTTCTCTTCCTATGTGAGAACCTCTTCTCCTTTGTTTTCTGTAGTGTTTCTCCTTCGGAGTCAGGAACGTCCAGCCCAACGGGCTATATAAAGGCCTGCAAAATCAATACCAGCTAACATCACACACCTCACCAAATTAGCCTGACCAAATGTAGCAGGCTAATTTTTAAGTTGATAATTTTGTATGGCCTGACAATGATATTATAAATATCCAAATGGTCCTTGGAGAAAAAAAGGTTCCCCACCCCTGTCTAGATTGAGTTTCTTCTAGATTCAAAGCCTATTTTAGTGTGTATAAGGCACAAGGTAAGCCACTACCTTCATTCTCGTTGTTAAAGACACAAATTAAGAAACAACCCCAAACGGTACCAAATAAACTTCCTAGGTTTGGAAGGGAAAATAAATCCCACCAAATTTCAAGCCATCACTTTTACAGAATGGGAACTCAAGCCTGGAATTGAAAAATAATGACTAGTCTGGTTCTCCCAGCCGAGAATGAGAACATGAAGATAAACTAGTCTTTTGCTTTTAATTTTATTTTTAAATTACAATTGATAGTCAATATTATTTTGTATTAGTTTCATGTGTACAGCATAGTGGTTGGACAACTATATAATTTACAAAGTGATCCCCCTGATAATTCAAGTACTCACCTAGCACTATACATAGTTATCACAGTATTATTGACTATTTTCCCAATGCTGTACTTTACATCTCCTATGCTAGTCTTGATCTTTAAAAAAATACTAGAAATACTTTTCACAAATTTTTAAAGTAAATCTACAGCTACAATTATTTTATGCTCTTTAAAATAATGACATACTAAATTGTTTTGTAAAAGCACGTTAGTATCTTATGCATACCAAAATGTATTGGGTAGTTTAATGGACATAATAAATATCTCAAGAGAATTAACAAAAGATACTGTAAAGCCCAAGATTTTGGTCTGAATTCACTGCCTTGTACCCTGACTACTAGAGAGAGAGGGGAAGATGATAAAACAAAAAGGATGCTGTCGCATTCACTTCTTTGCTTCCAGTTTCATTCCTCTACATCAATGCGTAGCCTCCTGCTACAGAATCATTTATAAACAAATGCATGTTTAAAAGGTTGGAGAAAAAATACAGCAAAACCCTAAATAATTATGTTCAGGTAAAATGAGACTGATATTTCTCTCTATGACTAAGCAACTTCTCATCAATAGAAATTTATTTTTATAATGGTTAAGGATTTCAACAACCTCAGAAAATAGGCATCCTTTCAATATAATATTGATCTACCTTTTGTAGCCAATTCATAAATAAATTTCTCTCTTCCCTATATAACTTTACTATAATGCCTTGTCCATTTCCACTTAGGCTTTTCAAAAACATTTTTATAATATTCTGCTACTTATAAATAGCTTAAAATGTCAGTAATGTTCTCATAGTCTAAAATTAAATAAGTTAATTTTTCCCCAAGAAGAACTAAACTATCACCAGTAGAAGTCCCTAATGGAATTATGCCAAAAAGTGACACATTCCCTGGTGACATTCCATGATTCATTAAAAGAAAGCTCTTTTGAGTGGAAAGACTAGTTTAGCCAGATCACCTAGAGCAATGAGTTACTAGTACCAACAACATCTCATTTATCCAAAAAACTTTACACATTATAAAGTGCTTTCATGGAAATGTCTAATAATAGAATATCTCTATTGTACAAGGCAACTGATCATATTTAGAGGTAGTAACAATACAAAATCTAAATTACCCTAATGGATTTTGTCAATAAAGCCACAGGCAAATTGTTTCTAAAGCAACAGTTGTCAAAAGTTCCTCCCCACCACCCATTTCGAAGCTATTTTCAAAAATTAGTCTTAGTTGATCTTAGGAACAGGAAACATTCTTTTTTTAAAAAAAAAACTTTTTTGCCCTGGCCGGTTTGGCTCAGCGGTTAGAGCGTCGGCCTGCGGCCCAGAGAGACCCGGGTTCGATTCCCGCTAAGGGCACGTACCTCGGTTGCAGTTTGTCCCTGGCCCTGGTCGGTCGTGCGGGTGGCAGCCACTTGATGTGTTCCTTTCACATCGATGTTTCTCTCTCTCTCTCTTCCTCTCTCTCCCTCCCACTCTACCTGAACAAAAAATGGAAAAATGTCCTCGGGTGAGGATAAAAAAAAAAAAAAACTTTTTTTTTTTATCCTCACCCGAGGACATTTTTCCATATTTTGTTCAGATAGAGTGGGAAGGAGAGAGAAAGAAACATCGACGTGAAAGGGACACATCAATCGAGTGGTTGCCACCCACACGACCCGACCAGGGCCGGGGACAAACTGCAACCGATACATGCCCTTAGCTGGAACCGAAACCGGGTCTCTCTGGACCACAGGCCGATACTCTACCGCTGAACCAAACTGGCCAGGGCAGGAACAGGAAACATTCTAAGTGTTAAAAGGAAAGAAAGAAAACTTAAGAAAGCCTAATTAATTGGACAACTAAAAAAATTTTCTATGTGTCAAAATAGCCATTAAAAAATTAAAAGGCAAACAACTGCTCTTGCAAACCTTCAAACCAGCTCACAATTCAAAACTGTCAAGTTTTGGGAATTTAAAAAATAAATTATATATGCATATATGCACAACCAATGGGCACAGATATTAGGTTGGGGAAAGCAGGAAGGGGGAGGGGGTTAATGGGGAAACCAGGAGGCATCTGTAATACTTTCAACAATACATACATACATACATACATAATTATAGCTGTGGCCAGTTTCACTCAGTGGTTAGAGTGTCAGCCTGCAGACCTAAGGGCTGTGGGTTCTTTTCCAATAAAAGGCACGTACCCGAGTTGCAGGTTCAATCTCTGATCCCAGTCAGAGTCATGTGGAAGGTAACCAATCAATGTGTCTCTCTCACATCAATGTTTTTCTCTCTCTCTCTCTCCCTCCCTCCTTCCCTCCTTTCCACTCTTAAAAAAAAACAACAAATCAATGAAAAAATATCCTCAAGTGAGGATTAACAAAAATAATAATAATACAATTATATTCTTTTTACCTAGCAGAATCAAACATTTTTAAAAAATTTATTTTATTTTTTTAGAGGAAGGGAGAGAGGAGAGAGTGACAGAAACATCAATGAGAGAGAAACATCAGTAGGCTGCCTCCTGCACGCCCCTTACTAGGGAATCAAGCCTGCAACCTGGGTATGTGCCCTGAACAGGAATGGACCTCTAGGTGCATGGAATGACACTCAATCCACTGAGAGCCACGCTGGCCCAGCAAATCAAACATTTTTAGAAGTCCCTGATAGAATTAAGAACATCGTAAAAAGTGGCATTTTAATACAATGATAGTGAAAATATAAATTGGCACCATTTACAGGTAATTGGTGATATTTATTAAGACTCTCAACAGGGTATAAATTTAATAAGTATTGAAGATGTAAGGTACAATATGATGACCATAGTTAACATAAAAAATTCCGCAGAAGCATTAGCTATAATTTAAATGAATTATAATTCACAAAAACCTTAAGTCAACATTTGGAGAATAGTATGATACCAGCATATAAAAGAATGCTATACATATTTTTTTTATTATTATCCTCAACCGAGGACATTTTTCCATTTTTGTTTAGCTAGAGTGGGAGGGAGAGAGAGAAACATCAACGGCAAATGGACACATGGACCCCGCATGATCCCAACCAGGGCCGGGGACGAATTGCAACCAAGGTACATGCCCTTGGCTGGAACTGAACCTGCAACTCATTGGTCCGCAGGCCCATGCTCTAATTGCTGACCCAAACTGGCCAGGGCATATACATCTATTTTTAAAACTTTGAAGAATTATTTAGTGACATAGGAAAATATTTACAATATGTTTTTAAAAGGTAAAATATTATAACTATATATAACTCTTTTTTAAAAATTACATACAAACTTAAGAGACAAAACAAAAAATTTTGGCCTAAACCGCTAATTTATCTTCCAGTTCAAGGAGCAAGTATAAGTACATGTGTTTATTTCCTCTCCTTCCTAATAACTTAATTAAATTTTAAAATAACTTTTTAAATTTAAAATATTAAAAGACTAGCCCTAGCTGGTGTGGTTCAGTTGCTTGAGCATGGTCCCATGCACCCAGAGGTGGTTGGTTTGATTCCCAGTCAGGACACGTGCCTGGGTTGTGGGTTCCATATCCATTAGGGGGTTGTGCAGGAGGCAGCTGATCAATGTTTCTCTCTCTCTCTTCCTCTCTAAAAATCAATAAAAAAAATTTTAAAAATAATAAAATATTAAAACACTAGGTTAGATCGTTCACAGTTCTGAAAGATGAAAAAAATGAATGGAAGAATATGAACTGATTAAGCAAAGTGGAGGGAGCAAAAGAGCAGAATACTCACATAGGGGGGCTGCAGCGAAAGAGGAAGGCTAATCTTCTGGGCAGAACCCCAGAGAGGCGCCAGTTCAGTGACCGTTGTACAAGGAAGGTCAATAGTGAGAAGTGGGACTGAAAACATCTGTCATAGCAAGAAGTCAACAAAGAATGTCTAAAGTTGATAAATAAAAAAATAAACACTATATGCATATTATTCAGAAACATGAAGTTAGGCCCCAGGAAATCTGAACCAAAAAGACTTTTAAAATTAGTTGACTCTGGGGAGTGGGTCTAATCATTATTAGGCCTTTTGATATTTGATTACTTGATTTATTAAGCTAAATGTGTATATAATATTGATTTTCAGTTTTTACTCCTTTTAATTTTATACTTTGTTGATTTTCCTTTAATATGTAACATCCTGTGTTTTACTTCCTTCCCATAAGGCAGAGGCTGTAATTTTATTTAGCAGTGTTTTTTTTTTTTTTATCCTCACCTGAGGACATTTTTCCATTTTTTTGGTTGTTGTTGTTCAGATAGAGTGGGAGAGAGAGAGAGAGAGAGAGAGAGAGAGAGAGAGAGAGAGAGAGAGAGAGAAACATCAACGTGAAAGGGACACACCGAGTGGCTGCCACCCACACAACCAACCAGGGCCAGGGACAAACTGCAACCGAGGTTCATGCCCTTAGCAGGAACCAAACCCGGGTCTCTCTGGACTGCAGGCCGACACTCTAACCGCTGAGCCAAACTGGCCAGGGCTAGCAGTGTTTTTCAAACGTAAGTTGTGCAGTCATGAAATAGATCTAGTGAGACATAAAGAGCATTTCTTTTTCATAATAAAAAGAAAACTGCTTTCATTTCAGTTATAAATGTTTACTTAAATGTGTGTACTGGGGTACTATGTAAAATCTCTCTTATTGTGTCTATTCTCAACCCAGCAGCCAGAGTGATCCTGTAAAAATGTGAATTAGGATCATGTCACTACTCCATTGACTTTGAGTTCCCACTCAGAGTAATGGCTTGTATGATGGCTCAAAAGCTCCAATTACAATAAACCAGCATATCTTTTCAACCTTCTACTTGCTACCTCGTTCACTTGGCTTCAGCTAACTGCTCTTTCATTTTCCTCCAACATCCCAGTCTGTCCCCATTTCAGGGCCTCTCAATTATTCAAATGTCACTCTGCTTTAAATTATAACCCCACACTCTTACAAACTCCCTATTTTATACCCTTACTCTTTATTACTCTTTCACACTATTTTATCCCATTTTACTTCCTCTAACTTTCTATTAATTTTATTTATCTCCCCTACCTCCACTAGAATGCATGCCCTAAAAGCTCATAGATTCGTTTGTTTACTAATTTAGCCCCTCACTTGTTAAAAGTCCCTGGCATGTAGTACACCCTCAGTAATGATCTACTGAATCAATAGAATAGTCTATAAATATATATATAATCTTAGGAAGATGACAAATAATTGGCAGTCAAGCATGAGAGTTTGGAACCCTTAAGAAATTCTGGTAATTTTAATTATAAGGATAAGCTATGAATTAGACTCTGGAGTAGTAAATTAAGGTTATTCACAGTACTGAATATGTTGCTGACATAACTGTACCACATTGAATGTGCAAATCTACTGAAATAATTAAAATAACCTTTGTTAATATCAACAGTAATAAAGAACGCTTGTATCTCAACCATCATTTTTAAAAACATAGGAGAACCTATTCCCTAAACAGCTAAGATACTTGAAGTATAGAAGGTTTTCACTTTTTTTTTTTTTTTTTTGTGGTACGTAACCCTAGCAAAAACCGAACCCAGGACTCTCTGGTCCGCAGGCCAACGCTTCAATTCCTGAGCCAAACTGGCCAGGGCTTTACTTTATTTAAAAAACAATTTTTTTTTTATCCTCACCTGAGGACATTTTTTCCTTTTTTGTTGTTGTTGTTGTTGTTCAGATAGGGTGGGAGTAAGAGAGAGAGAGAAACATCGACATGAAAGGACACATCGACATGAAAGGACACATCGAGTGGTTGCCACCCGCACAACCAACCAGGGCCGGGGACAAACTACAACTGAGGTACGGCCCTTGGCGGAAACGGAACCTAGGACTCTCTGGACCACAGGCCGACGCTCTAACCGCTGAGCCAAACTGGCTAGGGCTACTTTCCTTTTTTTTTTTTTTCTTTTTTATTAATTAATTTTTGTTACACATTCACCTTTTCCCCCCACTGATTCCCCCCTCCCTCCCCCCCCGCCCTGTCCCCAGTTTGTTGTCCATGTCCACTGTTCATGCATACATGCATATAAGTTCTGTGGTTTATCTCTCCCCCACCATCCCCTCTTCTGGGGATTGTCAGTCTGTACCCCACCTCTACGTCTCTGGGACTACCCCATCCTCAGATTGTTATGTTCATTATATTCCACAAATAAGTGAGATCATATGATACTTGTCCTTCTCTGTTTGGCTTGCCTCACTCAGGATGATACTCTTAGGGCTACTTTCTTTTTTATAAATCACAATAAAAGTCTCTTTCTCGGTAACCACAATTGGCACACATTCACAATTTTCACTATTTCCTTCAACCCTGAATGAAGATCAAGAAGGCACACTGTTGATCACCTTCATTTCTTCAAAATAAAACCAAGAGCAAATTCGAGTTCAGGTGAAAGTCACACAGCAAGTCTTTTGATTATGGCACACATGAATGACAGAGCTTCCATCAGTCATGACTTCAATAAATTTTTTTTTCTAGTCTACATTAAAACTCATTGAATGGGGGGGGGGGGACACTATCAATAGATTTCAACAATTAATGAGACCAACTCCTCCCTCATACAAAAAGCACACATGGCGCCCTGGCCGGGTAGCTCATCTCAGTTGGTTTGAGTATCATCCCAATATACCAAGGTTGCGAATTCCATCTTTGGTCAGGGCACATACAAGAATCAACCAATGAATGCATAAGTGGAACATATCAATGTATGTATGTATGTATAAATAAGTAAATGGAAAGAGAATTCAAAAGCACACATGGCAAAAACAGATTTCTACTGTATACAAAAAAAGCTTCCCCAACTGCAAAATGAAATGTCTTTTACTCTGCAAGTGAATAATGGCTTTTCCATATTTCATGCCATTACTACAGCATGACTTGATAAAACAATTTTACTTATCACTTCTTTTGTTTCGTTGGAGAATAAAATTTGATATTAGTTGCTTTGCAACTAATTTTACCCACCTTCTAAAAACAATGTGGTTTTACCTGTTTTGATCCTCACCAGAGGACACTTTTGCATTTATCTTCAGATACAGCAGGAGGGAGAGAGGGGGGAAGAGGGAGAAAGAAACATCAATGTGAGAGAAGTGGTAGTCACCCACACAACCCCATCTGGGGCCAGTGACAAAATGCAACCGAGGTACATGCCCTCAGCGGGAATGAAACCCGTGTCTCTCTGGTCCGCGGGCCGACGCTCTAACCGCTGAGCCAAACGGGCCAGGGCAAGGCTTTTTATTTTTAAAGAGGGAAAGAAACCAGACAAGTCGAAAGGGCAGCTCACAGACATAAATAAGTAAAATTGAATGAAGTACTAAAGCCACTGGCAAAATGAAAACTACACTGTATAAAAGAAGTAGTAGATCTGATACTGATGAAAACAAATTTAGGAAATGAAAGATAATCTCGAGAAAATTACACAGAATAGAACAGAAGAGAACAAAGAAAGAAGCATTTAGGAAAAAAAAAAAAATGAAGATGAACAATCATAAAACTAACATTCCTTGAGGAAAGAATAAAAATGAAAGCATATTAAAAGATATACAAGAAAATACTCCTAAATTGCAGATTGAAATGGCTTACCATGTACAGGAAAAGGTAACAGAGAATCACACCAAGACCGAGATATATCCTGATGAAGTTACTGAACTTCAAGGATAAAGAAAGAATTCTACCAATACCCAGGCAGAAGTAGGTCACCTACAAAGGGGAAAAAAAAAGTCAGGCTCACCCCAGACTTCTCTAAAGTAACCCTAGATGCCAGAAGATAATGGAATAATGTCTACTAAGTATTAAGGGGAAAGTAATGTAGCTAAAAATTCTATAACTAGACAAATATAATTTCACTTGAGGAAGCCACTGACAGACATTTTTAAACACACAAAAACCCTAAGAATAGAGTATTCAAATAGAAAAACCTATTTGGGCCCTAGCCAGTTTGGCTCAGCGGTGGAGCGTCGGCCTGCGGTCCAGAGAGACCCGGGTTCGGTTCCCACTAAGGGCATGTACCTCAGTTGCAGTTTGTCCCTGGCCCTGGTTGGGTAGTGTGGGTGGCAACCACTCGATGTGTCCCTTTCACATCGATGTCTCTCTCTCTCTCTCTCTCTCTCTCCCTCCCTCCCTCCCTCCCTCCCTCCCCACTCTATTTGAACAAAAAATGGAAAAATGTCCTCGGGTGAGGAGTAAAAACAAAACAAAACAAAACAAAAAGAGTAAGAATAATCTATTTGGTAAGCATAATAGATTTAAATATTTTCAAGCTACAGCTTTGTAATAGTAGCCACAGATCTATAGACATACTACCATATTTCATCTAAGATACACTTTTTTTATGTTTTAGTGTTAAAATCAGCATGTGTATTACAGTTGACAGTATGTCAGTTTCTTTGAGTGCTTAACCATATTAGTGGCTGTCAAAATAATGAGGCATCTTACAATCAGTGGTACCTTATGCATAATGAAATACAGTATAACTTCCAAAATGAGAGGAGGTATAAAGAAAGAAAATACAGCATGTGGTTTAAAGGGGAAAAAAGAAAACCTAGTGAAAAATAGGATAAAAAAAAGAGTATAACAGCTCTGGTCAGTTTGGCTCAGGGGTTAGAGCATCAGCCTGCAGACCAAAGGGTCATCTGTTTAATTGATTCCCAGTCAAGGGCATGTACATAGGTTGCTGATTCAATTCCCAGCCACGGTCGGGGTTTGGGAGGAGACACTAATCAATGTTTCTCTCTCACATCTATGTTTCTCTCTCTCTCTCTCTCTCTCTCTCTCTCTCTCTCTCTCTCTCTCTTCCTCTCTCCCTCTCTCTCTCTCCCTCTTTCCCTTCCTCCCTCCTCTTCCTCCCAATGGAAAAATATTCTCTGGTGAGGATTAACAACAACAACAAAGTATTACAGAAGCAAAACTAAACATACAACATTAATATAACTGATTAAAAGCAGCTCAGATTATCTAACTACATGGGGTCTACATGAGACAAATCTAAAACAAAGACTTTGAGATGTTAAAAGCAAAATGTCAGACAAAATATCAGGCAAGTGTAAACACTCTTTTAAAACCAGCTGAATTCCAAGTGAACACTAAGAGAAGCCAAAAAAAAAAGGTGGGGGATAGTCTGTCACATTTTATAATGACCAAGATTACAATCTATAAAGAAGATACAATGTTGCCCCGCCTTCAATGTTGCCCTGCTGGTGTAGCTCAGATACAATGTTGCCCCACTGGTGTGGCTCAGATACAATGTTGCCCCGCCAGTGTGGCTCAGAGATTGAGTGTCCACCCATGCAACAAGAGGTCGCTGGTTCAATTCCCAGTCAGGGCACCTGCCCAGGTTATGGGCCCAATCCCCAGTGGGGGGCATGCAGGAGGCGGCCAATCAATGTTCTCTCTCATCACTATTTCTCTCTCTCCAAAATCAATAAAGAAAAAAAAATTTTTTCAAAGAAGATACGGTTATAAAACTATATACACCAAAACCTACAAATATATATATCTGGAGTCAAAAATTTAAAGAAAACTGGGCAGAAATAAAAGTAGAAGGTAAAAACCATTTCAGCCCTGAAAGATCAAACAGAACAAATGATAAAATGGCTGAACATATATGAAGGAATGAGATGAAATCTTTATGAAACATTTATAAAAACTGATCATCTATTTATGCCATTAACACCTCAAAATTTTAAAAAGTAGAAATAATAGCCCTGGTCGGTTTGGCTCAGCGGTTAGAACGTCGGCCTGCGGTCCAGAGAGACCCAGATTTGGTTCCCGCTAAGGGCGCATATCTCGGTTGCAGTTTGTCCCAAGCCCTGGTTGGTCGTGCAGGTAGCAGCCACTCAATGTGTCCCTTTCATGTCAATGTTTCTGTCTCTCTCTCTCTCTCTCTCTCTCCCCCTCATCTGAACAAAAAATGGAAAAATGTCCTCAAGTGAGGATGAATAAATAAATAAATAAATAAATAAATAAATAAATAGAAATAATAGATACCACAATCTGACAATGAAGCAATTAAACTACTCTCCTTAATGGAGGAGACTTGACTACTTATGTACTATCTCTTCCTAAATTACTCTAGATGAAAAATCAAAATTAATATAGACTATCAAGTAAATAACAATTATAAAAGCTACCTATATAAAAGCCTTTAGTACACAAATAAAGCTATACTCAGTGGAAGATCCACAGCCCAAATATTACCAATGGATAAAGCAAGAATTAAAATTAAATTTATTAAGCATTCAACTCAATGTTAGAAAATAAAAGAAACTTTAAAAATCAGAATAAAGGAATTTAAGAAAGTCCTATGTTACATACTAGAAAGCAGAAGCTAATACATTTAATTCTAAAACCTAGGAGCTGCATTTTGAAGGGAAGGAAAAAAACACACCAAACTGATAAACCATTAGCTAGATTAAATAAACAAATAAATAAATTACGACACTGGCCAGTTTGGCTCAGTGGTTAGAGTGTCGGCCTCGGTTGCGGGTTCAATCCCTGGCTCCAGTTGGGGTTGTAGTTGTATAGAAGGCAACCAGTCAATGTGACCCTCTCCTATTGATGTTTCTTTCTCTTTCTCTCTCTCTCTCTCTCCTTCTCTCCCTTCCTCCCTCTCTACTTATCTAAAAAAATAATAAATAAGTTCCCGGTAAATTTTAAGCTACCAAATTTTAAAATGCAGATAAAAGGGATGGTTTTCTAGGAAAATGTAAATTATCAAATGGAATCGAGAAAACTGGAAAATAAACACCTCAAAAACTCCAAATTAAATAAATTGTCAAGAGTTATCTCCCCAACCACTCCAAACAACAGACACAGGCATTTTCATAGTAAATTCAAAAGGTAGTTCATAGGAAATTTCAAAAGGTAATTTCTTCATTAAAAACTTTATTAAACTATATCCAGAAAAGAAAGTTTTCCACATTTCATGAGGCCAATCATACATATACAGCACAAAGAATACGCTTGAAAAAATTTTTGAATAATTGTGGGGTGGGGAGGTGGAAGAGGGTATCAGGATAAATGGTGATGGAAAAATAAAATTAATATAAAGGAAACACTATTATATATACTTACTATATTCCGAATATTTAACAGCAGGTATAGAATAGTCATCAATCCATCAGAAGGATGCCAGAGCTAGGCTATGCTGAAGCACAGTCCTAAAGATTCTCTTTTTGTGCCACATATTATTCCCTTTGAGTGGCTAGGTCATGAGGAAGAAGAGTCAGAGTCAAGGAAGGGTCGAGTATTTTAACAACTTGCACATCAGAACATTAGTGTTAGTTCCTACTAACTTTTTACTACTCCTTTCCTATGAGCTGAGAAAACCCACCTATCTCCATTTTACAGTTGAGGAAGCAGACCCAGAAGTTAGATAACAGAGACTGGGGTTTGAACTCAACACAATGAGATTTCAGAGATTTGGCATTTAACCTCTACGTCACAGGACCTCTCTAAAATAAAATATTAGTGATTATAACCCAATAATAAATTTAAAAGGTGTCATTCATCCACAAATTCAAGAGGCTCAATCGTTTGAGCTAACATCATATTAAAGTTGAAGGAGAAAAGGCACTCATTTTTATTGTTGGAAATATTTCATAAAAGGAAAGAGAATTCCAATAAAATAGAAGTGGATATAGTACAAATAGTTTTTAAAAATATATTTATTGATTTTTAGAGAGAGAGGAAGGGAGAAGGGGTGACAGAAACATCGATGTCAGAGAGAACCATGGATCAGCCGCCTCCTACACACCCCCTACTGGGGACTGAGCCCACAACCTGGGCATGTGCCCTGACCAGGAATCAAACCTCTTGGTGCATGGATTAACACTCAACCACTAAGCCACACTGGTCGGGCAAGTATAAATATTTTTTAAAAACACACTACATAATATACATTAAGCTGTGTATATGTGTACATTTATTTAAAAATTTATATACAGATAATACATTAAGCCAGTAAGGTAAAAACCAGAAGTAGTTCCATTCAAGTCAGAGGACATTCAAGGTAGAGGACAAAACAAGGATGCCTGCCATGAAAACTATTATGGAAGACAGGAAATGAAGATGAACACTCATAAAACGAAAGTTCCTTGAAAGAAAAATGAAAGCATGTAACACCATTAATAGTTAAATAAACTATTAATAGTAATAAATAAAAATAAGCATTTAACATTATTTTAGAACAATCAAGCAATGTACTCAGGTTTAAAAAATATTTAAAGAGATTTAAAAATACTTTTATAGCTAGGAAAGCTAATAAAACCAAATGAAAAACTAGAACTAAGCAACCAATTAAACAAAAGTAAACAAATTAACAGCTTCCTTACATATAAATACTAATAAAAACAAAGTAGATAAAATTAAAACAAGCTACTAAAAAATAAAGCAATGCATTAAAAATTATTTTAAGTTTGATTTAAAAAATGCATCTATCCTTGGCTGGTTTGGCTCAGCAGTTAAGAGTGTCAGCCCTCAGACCAAAGAGTCACAGGTCTGATTCCCAGTCAAGGGCATGTACTTCAGTTGCAGATTCGATCACTGGCCAGGGTCAGGGTCGAGCAGGAGGCAACCAACCAATCAATGTATCTCTCTCACATCAATGTTTCTCTCTCTCTCTCCCCCCTCCCCCCCTCTGCCTTCCACCCTCCTTTCCTCCCACTCTTTTTTTGTTGTTGTTCAGATAGAGTGTGGGAGGGAGGGAGAGAGAGAGAGAGAAACATCGACGTGAAAGGGACACGTCGAGTGGTTGCCACCCACACGACCCAACCAGGGCCGGGGACAAACTGCAACCGAGGTACATGCCCTTAGCGGGAACCGAACCCGGGTCTCTCCGGACCGCAGGCCGACGCTCTAACCGCTGAGCCAAACTGGCCAGGGCTCCTCCCACTCTTATCAATGGAAAAAATATCCTTGAATGAGGATTAAAAAATAAAAAGTGCATCTTCTGCACCATTTGAATTTTAAGTGTTCAGAGACAAATTTCCTAGCTACTAAAAAGTGCACTCTAACTACTATTCTAACTACATCTTCCAATAACCCCATCTCTTATTCAGTAAAGCTGAAAGTTGCAGTTTTTTGGGGAGGGGGGTTCATTTTTTTTTTTTAATTTTTAAAATAACTTTTCTTTATTGATTTAAAGGGAGACAGAGAGACATCAAGGAGAGAGAACATCAATTGGTCACCTCCTGCATGCCACCCACCTGGAGATCTGGCCCACAACCTGGGCATGTGTCCCGACCAGGAATCAAACCAGCGACCTCTTGTTGCATGGGATGACGCTCAAACACTGAGCCACACCAGCTGACCTGCAGCTTTTATTTTAAAGAGTGATCTTATTAAAATAAGAGTCAGATCATGCTTCTCTGCTGCAAACCCTCCCTAGCGCTCCACCTCACTTAAGAGTAGAAGGTCAAGTCCCTATAATGGCTCACAAGCCCCAATAGGAAATTTCAAAACACCAAATCCTAAAAGCTTCCAGACCAAAAAAAAAAAAAAAAAAGTGACTTTTTTTAAACCAAAATCTCAAAACTGATATTGGACTTTCCAAATATGAAGGGAGAAAGGCAGTTGTTTGTTATAAACCCTTTCTAATAGATTTTTTTTTAATCTATTTGCTCATAAGTGATTAACAAAAAAGGATACACACACACACACATATATATACGAAAAACTTTAAGATAGTATAATCTAGCCTAAGAATGGACTTGGTGACCTAGAGAACAGAAACAAACCAAAATGCACACGGAAATGTGTTATATAATGAATTTGACAGCATTTCCAATCAGATAGGGAGAATGGATTAGTAAAAAATGGTGTGCTAGGACAACTAGTTAATTAGAGAAAATAAAGTCAATCTCTACCTAATTCCTTACAAAAAAAAAAGTCACCCAGGCCATTTTGGCTGAGTGGTTACAGCGTCGGCCCACAGACTGAAGGGTGGCAGGTTCAATTCCTGGTCAAGGGCACATCTCTCTCTCACATCTATGTTTCTCTCTCCAGCTCCATTCTATTTTACCGGGGGGGTGGGGGGGGATAGAAACCAACAGAAAAATATTCTTCAGTGAGGATTAACAAAAGATAATAATAAAATTAAAAACTAAAAAAAAGGTTCAAATAGGCAAAAATTTTAAATGTAGAAAACAAAATCATAAAAGTACATAAAGAAAATAGAAAATATGAAGCATACAGTGGAAACTTCTTTATAATCTTGGTTTAGGAAAAGTCTTAAATCATATACAAAAACCTAGAAGCCAAAAATGAAATGACTGAACCTTTATGTTTTTGAAAGGTTTAAAAGGGGAAGGGAAGAGGAACCCAAAAGACAAACCTGAATGGAAAATATGTGCATGTATAACAGAGTTAATCCCTGAATAAGTAAAGGGTACTGACAAATCAATTAAGACTAAATCCAATATCTGCACAAAGGAGTAAATACAAATGTCCAAAATATTCATGAACTATTTAACCTATTATATTATTATTTTTGCATTTATCTTCAGATAGAGTGGGAGGGAGAGAGGAAGGGAGAGAGAGAGACACACACACATCAACGTGAGAGACACATCGAGTGATTGCCACCCCAACGACCCCAACTGGGCCCAAGGACAAACTGCAACTGAGGTATGTGTCCTGAGTGGGAACCGAACCTGGGTCTCTGTGGTCCATGGGCTGACACTCTAACCGCTGAGTCAAAACGGCCAGGGCATATTTAACCTACTTTTTAAAAATGCAAATAAGTCATTTATATCTTAAGGTTGGAAAATGATTCTCAATTTTACCAGCAGAGAGATAAGCCAACAAGCAGTAGATGGAAATGTCTATTGATATAATATATAGAAGGCAATTTGGCATTATTAAACTTTGTTTTTCACCCTCTTTTAAATTCCATTTTTAGGAATTTTTTCTACAGAATAACTGACACAATTGAGGGAAATTACCACTTAACTTCTCCTAACGCACCACACTTCTAAAGTTTTTTAAACTTTCTAATCAGTTATATTCACACATAGTATTCGCTCCTCTTAAAAACATTTGCTCTTCCTTTTTACAGTTTCCTATTTGTTGTACTTTCCTGAAGATGTCTTTATGTTTATCTTCTAAGAGGTCCTTTCCTTTTTTAGAGAATTCTGTTCATGTTTACAAACATAATCTCCATTATTATCTTAATTTTTTTTTAATGTTTCTTCCTTGTCTGGGGCATATTTCCTCCTACTTGTCTTCTATCTCTATTCATTTCTTTCATATAAGGAAGTTTTCCCCTTAATTAATACAATTTGATTTTCTATATTTAAGAGTAGGAGACTAAAATGGAGACTAAAAACTGCATTTGTGGGTAGGACTCCAGGACTGATAGTTTCATTCACTATAAGATGGTCTGGGCTTGTGTTTGGATGAAAAAGAGTATCTCAGTGTAGCTTTAAATTGTGCTTCTATGAGTGAAGTCCAGCATCTTGAATATTTTCCAAAGCCATCTGTAATTGTCCCTAAATAGACTCATGCCCTTGTCCATTTTTCTACTGGGTCCTTGTGCTCATTTATTTTTAGAAAATTTTATTGCAAGAAAATTTGACTTTGCTTGTCTTGTTGCAATTTTTAATAAAATTAATTTTAATTTTAAAAACCAGTAACATAGCAAATTGTTCACAGTGTTTTTGCTTGTGCTTATATATTTTTTCCTTCTTGTCTATATTCCTATGTTTTTCAAGCATATTCTCTTCATAATAAAAAAAACACGTAATTTATTTATGGTTGATTATTCTACCATAGCTTATTTTTGCTTCATCCTCTCACCCTTTTCCTTTTCTCACTCACTTCACCCACAACCTTCCAAAGGATTCATTGGTGGGGGTAGGGTGGGGAGGGGAAATACTTTGAGAAATTTATTTGGGTTTAACTTTAACCTGAACTATTTATACCATGTGCAGACACGATTTTTCCTTCCTAATAATGCATGCTGTTACCTAAAATGTCCTCACTAACACTTCTATCTTCCATTTTCAAGGGCTATCTCATAATGCTACTTCTTCCATGAAACCTTGTTCACTAAAGGTAGTCTCCTCCTCTTTTGAAAATATATGGCATCAAAACTTTTATCTTTGTTGTAATACTTCCCTTAGTTTGACATGCTTTTATAGAGTACAGGAACTATGTCTAAACATTAATTTTATGTATCTCCAAATATTGTTTTCAAATGTTAACATTCAGTTATCAAATGAGGGGTGCTGGAAAGCATACTTTTACTAAAATAACTTAGGTCAAAAAGTAAATTTTTAATTTTTAATTATTAGCCTTTGATTCAAATCAACTCCTTTTTAACCATGCTCTCTAGTTTCCAACTTTCCCAGATCATTTAAAAGCCTCCTAAAGGTTTTTACATCTTTGGTCTTGTCTTATCAAATCTGACTGCCTTAGTCTTACTACTTCTTACTCAACAACCCAGTCAGAACCAAGGATTCTGTATCATCGAGCTCTTACTCTCCATCAGAGAACCT